ATACAGGGCAGGAAGTGAGGGAGGAAGTGGGGGACATCTTTGGGATGCATTAGCCAGTGTCTCCCTTGATTTCTCTCCTGTGGAATGCCAGGACCCCTGCAGGAACCACAAAAGCTACCGAGAAGTGATCTCCAAAATGAAGCCCCCTGTGATTCCTTTCGTGCCTCTGATCCTCAAAGGTGAGAGAGTTTCTCCCAAGCTGTGCTGCTTCAACCCATGTTTCCCTTCTCCCATGCCCCAGTTCTGACTTCCAGCCCCCTCTCAAGTCAGCTCTGAGTGCCCACCTGGAGAGGAGCCCCCCGCCCCAGGCGGAGTGGATTCTGGGGAAGAGGGGCGTCCTCAGGTGCAGTGGTCCTTTGGACCTCCCCTCTTATCCTTTCCTCACATTGGATTCTCTGCATCTCCTAGATCTGACTTTCCTGCACGAAGGGAGTAAGACCCTTGTAGACGGTTTGGTGAACATTGAGAAGCTGGTGAGTGAGCGGCACTGCAAACCCCTAGTCCCACAAGTGGCGAGCTCACATCCTCTCCCTCTCATCACCTCCCCAGAATAGCAGGCTTCCTCCATGTGCCCAGCTTGCCTAGCAGACTCTTGACTGTCTCCCTGGTGGCATCACTGTGGCAACCCGCCCACGGGTGGCAGAGCTGACAGGCAGCTTGGGGGCAACTCCACCTCCCCCTCACCTGGCACCCTGTTACACCCACTCCTTTGGTCCTTCAGAGACCCTCCAGAATTGGAGACTGGAGGGAGTAAAGCAGAGCTGGAGAATGGCGGAGGGGGAGCAGAAGAGGGGGAGCCTCTTTCTGTGCCCCTTTCAGGGCTCATTCCTTGTCATCTCCCAGCATTCAGTGGCCGAAAAAGTGAGGACAATCCGCAAATACCGGAGCCGGCCCCTTTGTGAGTACCCAGGATTCTGAGAGCAGTACAGGTAGAGCTTTGACTGAGCGGGAGAGTTCAGGGGAGAACTCCCGGTCCAAATGTGTATTTCCATACACTTGCCAGTTCCGCATTCTCTCCTTGCCTCCCTAGAGGCCCTCCTGCCCAACGTCTGTCTCAGTCCACAGCCTGATCCTCTGCCTGGTGTGTGTGTAGAGGAAGGAGGGAGGCTGGGAACCTGACTGCCTCTTTATCCCCTAGGCCTGGACATGGAGGCATCCCCCCATCACCTGCAGACCAAGGCCTATGTGCGCCAGTTCCAGGTCATCGACAACCAGAACCTCCTCTTCGAGCTCTCCTACAAGCTGGAGGCGAATAGTCAGTGATCGTGGAGGTTCCCATCAGACCCACCAGATCCTTGGGCGCCTGGCACTCAAGCACTTTGCACAATGTCTCAACCGACAGCTGACATCTTTCCTGAGGAGCAACTTCCTGCCCACCCCTGCTCCACAGGAAAGAGTTGGATGGATTTACCCGTGGACCCATAAGTCTGTTCATCCTGCTGAAGCCCTCTCCCCATTGCTCCTTCAAGCCAAAACCACATTTTGCTGGTTCCTGTCCCCTCTGAGAAAGGGGGCAGAAAGCTCCTTCCTCTGTCCGCTCCCATCGAGGTCTGTTCTGGGGATGAAGTTTCCAACTTCCTCTTCCCAAGAAGGAAAGAAAGCTGCCCACCCTTCTGTCTTGCCAAGTGGAATGGTGGGAGGGATTGGCAGCTTTCTTCTCCACCACCTGTCCAGCTTCTTCCAGGTCAGGGCTGAGACCCCAGAGGGGTGTGTGTGTGTGTGTGTGTGTGTGTGTGTTGTGTCTCCTTTTAGGGAGCATGCGTGCATCTGGTAATTGAGGGAGGGTGTTGTGTGTGCCGGGGAGGGGTCCTTCTGTTTGGTGCTACCCTTGTCTACTCTGCCCCTGGGATGGTTCGGGGTGCTTTCAGCACCCCCACACTCCCTACTCAGCTCCTCGTGCTGCCCTGCCTGCCCAGGCTTGTGAGCCAAGCTGCTTTTCAGGGCAGGGAGTAGCAGCAGGCGGGAGGGGTTACCCATCAGCCCTTGCAAGTCCCCCACTTAGGCCTCTGGAAGGTCCAGGGGTGGGCTCTGATGAGAGGGTAAAAGATGCTCAGGGAAACACAGGCCTCAGCTGCGTAGAGGACCCTTCCCCTGCCTCGCAGTGGGGTGGGGTAGAGCAGTATCAGGAGCTAGGGGTGTCTGCCGCCCATACTCCTGCTTTTTGGGTGTCTAACGGCCTCCCCCTTCTGGCTCATGTGTCTGACACCAACAACGTGGTCTCTGTCCCTTTCCCTGTCTCAACTCCCCCTTTGTCCTCCCCATAGAGCTGGGGTGGGTGGATCCCTATACCCGGGGCAGGCAGCCCCATAGTGGGGGAGGGGGGTGGCAGAGACTGTAATGGCACCACCGGACTCTGGTGAGGCGTTTATTACCTCTGCCCCCCTCCCTCTCCCATCACCAGCCTCAAGGCCTGAGGGGTACAGGGGCTCCTGGCAGCTACAGGGTGAGGTTTCCTGGCGCAGCCTCACCCTTCTTTTTGGCACCACCTCTTTCCCTTTTGAAGAGGAAGCAACGGCAGCAGCAAAAGCAACTGCTGTTCCTGCTATGAGGGTGTATATATTTTTTACCCAAAGCTCTGGAATTGTACATTTATTTTTTAAAACTCAAAGAGGGAAAGAGCCTTGTATCATATGTGAACATTGTATCATAGGTAATGTTGTACAGACCCTTTTATACAGTGATCTGTCTTGTTCCTGTGGCAAAAATCCTCTATGGACATATGCAGGCACTGTGTCCCACGCCCTCCTGCCCTGACGGTGTCCACGGTGTCCATGGCATCCTCCTGCTCCCCGCCCCCTCCCTGCTACTGCTGATGTGCTCTCCTCTCCCTGCAGCCCCAGGCTTCCAGCCTTCTTCCCGACCCTTTCCAGTAGCCTTCGAACTCCATCTACCACCACCCTCCGGGTCGAACACTGGGACCCACTGGCCCAGTCTTGGCTGCTGCCCACCCCTAGCCTTGACACCTGCCCAGGGACTCCCAGCCCTCTCCCCTTGCCCTGCAGCTTTAACAGAGTGAACCACATGTATTTTACAGGTGCGGTTGTCATTGCAGAAACCGCTGGGTGGGGAAAAAGCCAATAAAGTCTATGAATCAACCTGCCTGCTGTTCTCCGTTCTGTTTCTTTGAGGCTGGGGAAGGGCTGAGGGAGGGGAGAGGGAATGCCGCCCAGTGCTGCCTGAGCAGGGCTGTTCTGGAGTGGCTTTGAAAATGTGGGCGGCCAGGTACGGTGGCACACACTTGTAATCCCAGCACTTTGGGAGGCCGAGGCAGGCAGATCACCTGAGATCGGGAGTTCAAGGCCAGCCTGGTCAACATAGTGAAACCCTCTTTTCTACTAAAAAATACAAAAATTAGCCAGGCGTGGTGGTGCATACCTGTAATCCCAGCTACTCAGGAGGCTGAGGCAGACAGATCACCTGAGATCGGGAGTTCAAGACCAGCCTGGTCAACATAGTGAAACCCTCTTTTCTACTAAAAAATACAAAAATTAAGCCAGGCGCGGTGGCTCAAGCCTGTAATCCCAGCACTTTGGGAGGCCGAGGCGGGTGGATCACGAGGTCAAGAGATCGAGACCATCCTGGTCAACATGGTGAAACCCCGTCTCT